AGCGAGCTGGAGGTTTGCATTATTTGCGATGCAAAACCGATACTTTTTTAATTTGAAAAAAAAATAACGTTTGAGAAATCATACTAAAAATCATGTCTTGAATAATCATAACCATGAGTTCTCCGACCTCCTTAGAAAAAAATAACCCACAACGAAAAAGAAACAATTGAACCAGAACTTCCAGAATATCTGTGAACCAGATAGCTCATGTTTGCTCTTACTCCAGTTTTCATTCACCTGAAAAAAATGGGAACCATTTGAAAAATGTGGAGGAACTTTGTATTCGGGTGTTTTAAGTTTTTATTTTTGTTTTGCACGCAAAATCAGACACCACAAACAAACAATCATTGAATGAGTCAAAAGATATATCATAAAAAACCTTTTCAGTCGTGATTCAAACGACATTAATTTTTTTTCCTAAGTCGAGAAAAACCTGTTTGAAATTTTTGCTTTTTCGTCTAATTTCGAGAGAGTAAAACGAGCGAGCATGCTTATTTATGCTTAATCTAGGCCGCTTGTAGAAGCCTATTTATGCTTCATTTTTGGTTTTATTCGAAAATAACTAGTTTTTGGAGTTAGATTAAGGTCATTTTGAGAATCAAAAACTTCAAAAATTCTACAAGAAAAAACTGGAAAACAATTTTTTGTTTTGTTTTTCTAGTCGTTTTTCTTCAAAAACTTTTGTCCAATTTGCCTGTTTTACTATGACTGTCGAATATTTTCAAGTTTTAATTTTTTCTTCAGATATTTTATCAAACCACGCAGAAAAAACGACAATTTGCACATTAACCGGCTATACTTGTTTATATATGAAAAATAACAAACTTTATATAACCAACTCAAAACAACAGCGTGAACAAAAAAGCGAGCAAAAAAGAGAATTAGAAGGTACAAAACTTCTTGTTGATCAGCTCCTAGTCATCTACAACTTTCGTTGATTAACGGTCGGATCCAGTACCCAACTACTTTTAACGAGTATGCACTATTAAAGTTGATCTATATACCAAGAGCATTATGCAAAGCCTTGAACAAAAATGGTTTGCTAATAAAATGCATAATGGTTATCATATACCAGGAGCATTATGCAAAGCCTTGAAAAAAAAGTTTTGCTAATAAAATGCATAATGGTTAGCCAATTGCGTTCGCAAAAAAATACTAGAAATTTTATGAAAAGCAGTATAAGGAATTTTCAGAAAATTGATGTATAGTAAGCGTCTTAATAAGCATTCAAAAAAACCGTGGAAAAAACTAAAATCATTTACCGGGCGGTAACTAAGCCGACAAACTCAAGTACACGTCACTTCAAAGAAAAACAAAATGTAATAGAAAAAATTTGAGCTATTGTATTTTGAATTTTGAAAACTTTACGCCCTATTACTTTTGCAAAAAGGCATAGCAATATATTTTTGTCTGACTTATAACGTCTGACTTCTGATTTCGTGTGAGCGACACGTACAAATGATTCCAGTGATTCTGTTAAATAGTTGTGCACCCGAAAAAATACTATATCGCAAGCTTAACAAAATAAATGGAAAATGTTTCAATCACAAGTTTCGAATAACTATATTGAAAAGAAATGGACTCGATGCTTTGGAAAAAATGACACAACTTATGCAGAGAAACAGTAATTTGACAATTTAAATTTGTTCTCAATTTCCACACATTAGAAAAAAACAAGGCTAGGCTGGGTCTCAAACCTTTGAAGTTCAGACCAAAAGGCGCGCGATTTATACATAGACTACAGGGAAGGGGCTGGACGTGGTCGAAGAGTAAGACAAGGTAAATTTCATACAGATTCGTAAATAAAAGTTGTTTGCAGTATTCCCGATTAAAGTACCATTGCTCTCGCAAGTGGGAAAAAATGCAACAATATTGAAAGCATCCAAAATGAAAAAATATATATCCCAGCCGTGAATTCATGTTTTTAATCTATTTGTGAACACTGAAAACTTGCAATACAAAAATAAACAGAACTAACGAAAAAATCAAAAGAGGAAAACAGAGCCATTTGCAGCGCAAGTACCACATGAAACTCCGACCAGTGTTTTGAAGAAAAAAAATAAACAAGAAATTATCAGAACTAATTTAGGTTATTTTCCAAAACATTCAAAAAAAATTAAATTCACGTTTTTTAAATAACAGACGATTGTTTTAGGTTAAATTATTTCTAAATTAGAAGTTACGGGAGCAAAATTAGTCTGAACAATGGGGAAATTCAGACCCGCGGCACAGTATAACTTTTAAGAATCTTTTTCAGACTCTGAATCATGACTGAAAGGCTCTAGTTTGCTGCCCCATTTGTGATTCTGCGGTACTCGGACAGCGACGTTTTTTTTGCTACATTCCGATTAGCTTAAACAAAAACAATAGGAACAATTCGTAAATTAAATCCCAAACTGGTTTCTAAATTGGACCAAATATTTCTAACTAATTTCAATGTCCATTGTTACTTCTTTTCAAGTTTCTGGCCACCGGGGCAGTTGTAATGCCTCATTAATACAGCAGGCTTTTCGAAAAACCTGTTTGAAATTTTTGCTTTTTCGTCTAATTTCGAGAGAGTAAAACGAGCGAGCATGCTTATTTATGCTTAATCTAGGCCGCTTGTAGAAGCCTATTTATGCTTCATTTTTGGTTTTATTCGAAAATAACTAGTTTTTGGAGTTAGATTAAGGTCATTTTGAGAATCAAAAAACTTCAAAAATTCTACAAGAAAAAACTGGAAAACAATTTTTTGTTTTGTTTTTCTAGTCGTTTTTCTTCAAAAACTTTTGTCCAATTTGCCTGTTTTACTATGACTGTCGAATATTTTCAAGTTTTAATTTTTTCTTCAGATATTTTATCAAACCACGCAGAAAAAACGACAATTTGCACATTAACCGGCTATATTTGTTTATATATGAAAAATAACAAACTTTATATAACCAACTCAAAACAACAGCGTGAACAAAAAAGCGAGCAAAAAAGAGAATTAGAAGGTACAAAACCTCTTGTTGATCAGCTCCTAGTCATCTACAACTTTCGTTGATTAACGGTCGGATCCAGTACCCAACTACTTTTAACGAGTATGCACTATTAAAGTTGATCTATATACCAAGAGCATTATGCAAAGCCTTGAACAAAAATGGTTTGCTAATAAAATGCATAATGGTTATCATATACCAGGAGCAGTATGCAAAGCCTTGAAAAAAAGTTTTGCTAATAAAATGCATAATGGTTAGCCAATTGCGTTCGCAAAAAAATACTAGAAATTTTATGAAAAGCAGTATAAGGAATTTTCAGAAAATTGATGTATAGTAAGCGTCTTAATAAGCATTCAAAAAAACCGTGGAAAAAACTAAAATCATTTACCGGGCGGTAACTAAGTCGGCAAACTCAAGTACACGTCACTTCAAAGAAAAACAAAATGTAATAGAAAAAATTTGAGCTATTGTATTTTGAGTTTTGAAAACTTTACGCCCTATTACTTTTGCAAAAAGGCATAGCAATATATTTTTGTGTTTCATACGACTCAAGATGAGGTAACTAGGTCAATATAACACAAGCAGAAACCATTAACAAGGAAAAGAATTTACAAACAAGGACAAAAATTCCTGGACCAAAATATCTTGCACCATAAGAAATTTACAAAAGATTTCAAAATGCATAAAAGAAACCAAACCTTTCTGCAGGACCTAAGCCGACACCAAAGTATACATTAGTCGAACATTTTCAGTTTCCACCAAAAGCAGGTCCCAGCTGGAATCGAACTTCCGGGGTTTATCGTCTCAAGCATGGTTGATACCACTGTGCCAAATGCACAGAACGCCTTGAATTTATCAACAAATCAAATTTCAAAAATATTTAATAAACGAAAAACAAATCAAAACATAGCGAGCACACTCGACAAAACTTCTCTGGAACTCAATTACTTCGATTACTACTCTGTGGGCTAATTTGGTGCTGCGTCAACAACACCGACAAAAAAAAACAAGCAGACAAACAGAAGTACGACAAAATCATTTGACGCGTAGACAATTTTCCGTTTTTAAAAAAATTTCCAGATCAGATTCGAACCATTATCTTTATCTTTATGGCAGGTGCATAAACTCTTCACGAAATAACGTATGCGCGAAATAACGTCTGACTTCTGATTTCGTGTGAGCGACACGTACAAATGATTCCAGTGATTCTGTTAAATAGTTGTGCACCCGAAAAAATACTATATCGCAAGCTTAACAAAATAAATGGAAAATGTTTCAATCACAAGTTTCGAATAACTATATTGAAAAGAAATGGACTCGATGCTTTGGAAAAAATGACACAACTTATGCAGAGAAACAGTAATTTGACAATTTAAATTTGTTCTCAATTTCCACACATTAGAAAAAAAACAAGGCTAGGCTGGGTCTCAAACCTTTGAAGTTCAGACCAAAAGGCGCGCGATTTATACATAGACTACAGGGAAGGGGCTGGACGTGGTCGAAGAGTAAGACAAGGTCAATTTCATACAGATTCGTAAATAAAAGTTGTTTGCAGTATTCCCGATTAAAGTACCATTGCTCTCGCAAGTGGGAAAAAATGCAACAATATTGAAAGCATCCAAAATGAAAAAATATATATCCCAGCCGTGAATCCATGTTTTTAATCTATTTGTGAACACTGAAAACTTGCAATACAAAAATAAACAGAACTAACGAAAAAATCAAAAGAGGAAAACAGAGCCATTTGCAGCGCAAGTACCACATGAAACTCCGACCAGTGTTTTGAAGAAAAAAAATAAACAAGAAATTATCAGAACTAATTTAGGTTAAATTATTTCTAAATTAGAAGTTACGGGAGCAAAATTAGTCTGAACAATGGGGAAATTCAGACCCGCGGCACAGTATAACTTTTAAGAATCTTTTTCAGACTCTGAATCATGACTGAAAGGCTCTAGTTTGCTGCCCCATTTGTGATTCTGCGGTACTCGGACAGCGACGTTTTTTTTGCTACATTCCGAATAGCTTAAACAAAAACAATAGGAACAATTCGTAAATTAAATCCCAAACTGGTTTCTAAATTGGACCAAATATTTCTAACTAATTTCAATGTCCATTGTTACTTCTTTTCAAGTTTCTGGCCACCGGGGCAGTTGCAATGCCTCATTAATACAGCAGGCCTTTCGACAACTCATTCTTCTAGCTGATTGTCATGCTGGGTGCGTATTTCTCTGCCTTCAATTCGACGCCTGAACCCGAAAAACCAGATGCACCACGCTGGAGTAATATTACATCAGATTCTTGTAGTTTGACGTTCTTCCATGGGTCTAACATCTCCGATCGGATCAGTTTATCCAGTGCCTCTACAGTAATAACTTGCCCAGATGGTCTTAACACAACACACGGTGTGCTATTTGACAAAGCATCGTTTGTTAGAGCACACATGTATTTTGGCGCATGTGAATTTGAAACGCTTTTGTCTTCTTTATTTGCTGGCGTAAAGTGGACATCGATTAAATTTTTAATTTTGAGCGGTTTTTTGCTCATAGGACAAGTCACTTGTTGAGCGGGTTTCTTTAAATGTGTCTCAGATATTGATTTTTTTGATGAAATTTCTGGAATCCAAAAACAGCTGTTCGGATTTGCTGCGTTTGAATTCGACTTATTGGATCCATTTTTGTTCAAATGATGAGATGTACTGACAATTCTGCTTTCATTCGAAACAAATGATTCAATCTTCTTCAATTCCTTTTCCATAGAATCATTTTCTTCTTTTTTCTTTTGCTTTGTCAAATACTCTTCGTAAGCTTTCATTTGACGAGCCAATTCTCTTTTCTGTTTTAACATATATTCCAGTATAGCCTCTCTTTCGTAAAGAAATCCGTCGGGAGTTATAACGGGATCTTTACACGTTTGCAGGGTAAGATTACAGCAATCGAAATCTTTGATCGAATCGCGACCTAAACGCGTCTTTTTAGTTCCATATCCACTAGCTTCAGTATCTTTCTTCTTTTCGTGGTATGTGTAAACAGCTCCTGCAGTGCAATTTTTTCCGTGTCTGGTCATATTTGGTCTAAAAATAGCCAAGTTTGAGTTATACTTCAAGAATTTGAACTTGAACCTGTACCATAGGAACGGTGGACGACCTTTCACCAGGTCGAACTTTTATCAGAAAATTTGAGCCTTTACCAGACTTGGCTTGACAGATCTAGTAACGCCGTTTAGTCTGTTGAAAGCAACCTTTTCACGGTTTCTCAGCTATTTTTGTTTATTTTAGCCACTTCCTTTTCCAATCTCAACTAATTTTGACTCATCTTAATTCTTTTTGAATCTTACAAGGGGGAAACCCCTTGTGCTACGAGCACAAAAGCCCTACTACTACTAACTAGTTTTGACTTATCTTAATCACTTTCTGGTCTGATGAAAGGTCGAGCTGCTAAAAGGTTGGTTCAGTTCATGTTCTTTGTTAAAAGAAATGCAAACTCCAGTATCAAACAGCGAAAGGGTGAAGGTCACGAAAAACCTGATTGTATTCTCAATTCCAAAAAGGAATTTCATTTACAGATTTCGCAGCGAAAAAGAAAAATACTAACTGATCCAATTTTATCAGATTGGTGTCAATCAAAAATTGTTCTAATCCAGCTTAATGTGTCAATCCAGCTTAATTAGTTGGAAAAGTATATTTGAAAAATGCTGCAAAACATTTTTGAAAATTGAACAAGAATTCCGGTTCGATCAAAATATTTGCGAAAACAAACTAATGAAAACGAACTCTGATCTTTGTTACATAAGACAAAGATACACAAAAATCCAACAGACAGTTGGCAGTATCAATGGCCTCAAGGATACCAAAAGAAAAATATTTCCTAGGCATTTTTCAAGTTACAATTTTAGAGAAAAAACACCATACTATTTGTTTGAGTTTTAAAACTCCTTCGTACTTGACTTTTTTCACACAAAGGCGAAGCAGAGCTTCGCATCACTTGCGATAGAAAAATATAACTTTAAGGAAAAAAGTACTAACCAAGAAATGTAACATTCGCCCGGAAGATACATATCGACGGATAACAAAACTAAGTCTTAAGACGACTGGCTAACGTCTAAACAGAGCTTTGCATGCTTTTCACCGTCTCTACCAAGCCAGTACTTTTCGGTGGTCTTTCCAACATCGGGTCGACAAAAACGTTACTGTTCTCCGGCTTCGACCAGAACGCTCAAATTAACTTAATTACATGCAAATAGTGAGCTCATGGCTGGGTCTCAGTATCCCCAGACCACGAGGTCACTCCTAAAAACAGGGTTACTACTTATTATATTACTATTGTTTTTGTTCAGTAGATAAAAATCATCATCTCCATCGAAGATGAATCAACCCTTTCCCCCAACTCCTAGCTTCTCATCCTTATCAAAATGAATCTAGATATTAATTAAATTCAAGTCAGGACATGACAGGAAGCTAAAAGTTTATGCAACAGGATAAAAGTTCTAGTTCCTTTACCCTTCCGGATTGACGAATCCGCTGAATCAAGCTCGTTAATCTTGATTTCCTCCTAATCCGGAAGGCTGTCTCTTACCCTTCACCGTTGTTCGCAACGGCCTTGCAACTATTGTAGCAGCACAATAGTTGCAACTCGGAACGTTCTCTGCTATGTTGTCGTTTTTTAATCTCGATTTTCGTCCTGTTCGCAATCGCAGATAAAGTTGTTGTGTCTTCTCTCTCGTTTTCTGTCAAAATGGCCGTTTCAGCTTTTCTCAGAAATGTGACGTCATCATTCGAAGTTTTGAAATTTTAAAATATTAGAATATTCCAGCCCTCACCGTCTGGCCAAACGTTCCAATAACGCTCTTAGTTCTTAAAAACCACCAATCCGGAAGGCTTACTGCTAAAATTCCGAATTCTGCAGAGATTGCATTTTTCACATTCTGGTCGAATGTCACATACTCCCCGGACAGTCCGGTCAATGTCCTCATTGAATCGCGCAATGTTCGTAAAATGGTTACAGTGTCATCGAACAGAATTTACAAAATGCACGAAATTACTTTTATCCACGTCACATCGACTCACTGCAGAATATAAATGGCATCATACTACATCATTATAGCCTTCAAATTCTCTCATTAATCTGCACATTGAGGATACAACCTAATGATAAAACATATTTTCTGACTCCCAATGTCAATGTCCCGATTAAAACTTTTTCTCTTAGATTTGAAAGTTGTTGGTTTGCAGGACAGTCCTGCCAACCAACAAGCTAAAGTTATCCTACTATGCTTCTTCCCTTCGGAAATCTTGCTTGTTATTGTCCTGAATATTAAAACTAAGAAACTCTGTGGTTAGAAAGAACAATGAAACAATCTCCCTCTTCGAGAGATTACTCAAGCCTTCCACGTCACCACAAAGTGATCAGTCTTCCTAAGTGATTAAAAACAATCATGCAGGCTGGAATATTTAAATATACTCTTCCCTTAAGCCTTTCTAAATAAATAATAAAAGAGTGTCTCTAAAGCCACTTCAACTAAAATCAAAATGCAAATTTATAAATGCAACAATTTCAAAACTCAACTAAATGTTTCAGTTTTCAATTACAACTTGGTTGCTTGGTTTCTCACTTGAGTTTTTCACACACATAAAACAATTCTGAGTTTTAACTTTTCTTCATCACTCCTTTGTTCTCTTCTTTTTTCGTCGTTTAGAAGTTCTAAAACTTCTAAATTCTTCTAATTTTCTTTCTTGTTGCCTCTTGTTTTCTCGACCATTCATCAATGTTCCATTTCTTCCTCCTGTGATACTGACTCCGCACTTTCGGTTTCCGTGTCTTGTAGCACATCGTTGGCTATCCTTACGCTGTTGGAAGCCGTCCTCCAACACTTCTGCTCTTCTACCCTCTGTTTACAGCAAGGTAGGGGATCCACGTTGGATTCTCTGTTTCTGCAGAAACTGTTGTGGAGACATAACGTCACGTTTCTCTCCAAATCTTCTTTCAGCATCTCTGCCTTCTCATTTCCGCTACGCTCACTCGTCCTGGAAATTCTTTTCACGGCGGTGGTCACTGCATTCCGATGAGTCACGAGAGCTCGCTTGAAAGCTCCTGCCCCAATGTCCAGCTGATATTCACTGTACACCCTGCCGTGCTTCGACATATGCTTTTTCGCATACTCGTACAACCATGCAGTCATGTTGGCTCTGAACCATGGCATCAATCGTTTTCTCGCCCATATCTTCTTCACTTCCATCGGAATGTTTAGAACTTTGCACATTGTCTCAAAAAGATCTAAATCTTTTAGACAATCTAATTTCCGCAATTGTTCTCTCGTCGGCGCCTCCTGTCTATTATTTTCTCTCACATGAGCTTCCAGCCATCGTATCGCCATCATAACTCCCACTATCACTATTGTTACGGGCTGTGATGAATCTGGTAAACCCATGGAGAGCAGCTCTCCAGAGTCCCAGATCAACATCAGATTACTACGCTTGGGATACCACCAGGTCTGCAGCAAGCAGTGGCAAGGAAACTCGTCATGCGTCAACATGATGCTCCTCCAATTACGTTTTCCCGAAGCTTCCAGCAATGGTTCCACTTCCATCATCACTCGGTGGATTTCATCATTCTCATCTACTGCATTGTAATCTGTGACAGTTGATCCTCTCTGTTTCTGTTTTTCGAAGTCACTGAAGTTCCCGCTCACATATCCCATGAACTTCTTTCCTAGTATCGACTCCAACTCTTCTTTGGTTCTCTCTGGAATTGCTGAGAACATCTTACATAGTAACTCGTAAGACTTTTCAGACATTCTCGCCAATCTCACACACTTCGGCACTGAGAAGGCTTGATCCACAATCGTTCTTGTACTCTTCACGTCCACAGCTACGAAATGTACAGGATACCTGCTCTTGCACATTGGAGCCAACGTTGAACCCACCAAATATCGTGCTCCTGATGGTCTACAATAAGTTTCGCTGTGTCTGATGTTCATCTCTGTTTCGATTGCTTCCCTCCATTTTCCTAGATATTTCTGCTCAGTCTGCAGAACTCCTGGAAATACTTCTACGCTGATGGCTGTGACCATCTCATGTTTCTGTTCTAGATTCAATAGTGACTCTAAAGAACCAAACATGCTGTAGAATCCTAGTGCAGTCACTAGATTCACATCGGTTCCTCCATGGCAATCTGCTATTAGTTCCGTTTCTGTTCTTGCTTTCATCACTACATTTCCAAACAATACTGTCAATTGCTTGTGTTGTTTCTCCAGGGTTTTCACACAGTCTAGACCTCCACAAACATGACCCTCCAGTCCACAGACTTCCGCCAGACAGCTACCAGGTTTGACCCAGTCTTCCGGTCCCCAGCCAGGCAACTCTACTTTATCTTCTCCGTTGCTCTTAGAGGCTGTTATCATCACATTATATATGATGTTGAGGTCACTCAGGTTACAGTCTGCATTCAGTTCCCTCTGTACGTCTTGTGTCGCCCGTAATATTGAGTCAGCGTTGGGACTAGGACACCATGATGGCCTCATCAATTCCCACACTGCCATCAAGCTCGTTCTCAGTAATTCATCTGAGAATCCCAACCCAAACTCCACTCTCTTGTCGGATTTTGGTACTGAAGGTGCAGTCACCTCTTCTTCCAAGACCAATCCCAATTTGGCCTGTGGATTGTTAACGATCTTAATCGTTACAATTCTGGACGTCCAGAATCTTAGTAACACCGCCTGCTCATAATCAAAGAAGCAATCGCGTATGTCTTCACTCAGGAAAGGATTGTACGCTATCCCTATGATCCCGGATACGTAGCTATATGACTTCATCTTGATCGGTCCACAGTATTCACTGGATTTCGGCAATGCTCCCATAGATTCTTTAGTGAGTCTCAACTCCTTGTTTGAGAATCTCCTGATCTCGTCTATCTTTTTCATGGGTTCCAATTCCTCAGGTTCTTTCATGTTTACCCTCATCGGTTTACTTTGCTGCATATCCAGCATTGCTAGCAAGATCAAGGCTTTCGTTCGCTCATCGCCTTCCCTCAACATTTTAACACAAGTGTTTAACGCAGGTACTGAAATCTGCTC